GTGATATTGATAGCTGTACTTTCTGCCTAGAGTTTGTGTCTCTTAAGATTTTTGAGCTATGATTGACTCATCAGATTATTGAGTTCTCTATATCTTACTCAATTCCATTCCTTGTCCGCATAAAGTAGGAGGTAGGATGATTTTTAAAAGTTAAATTATGATACTGGGCTTAAGATAGAATTCTTTGTCTACACAAACTCACACAAATGTAGGGAAAGTGTTCCCCTCCTAACCTTAACCAACTTCTTTGAATATTTTTAAAATAATTTTTGGTTGATAAACCTTCTAATTTTCTGTTTTTAATGAGATAATAAGACATTGTCAAAACATGGCTTTTTTTTGGTCTTCTCAAAATAGATATAAATTCATATAATATTAACAATTTTTAAATATTAAGACATATGTAGATGTTTCAACCTATATATTTTATGTACTCAAATGTATTAAATCTTCCTGGAAATGAGTAAATGACACTGGACCTGGTTTGTGTATGTCTCTGCCAATAACCCATCAAGTAACCTTATATGTTATTTCACCTCTCTGGGTTCATTTGACTTACCTGGAAAACATAAGTGTTAAAGAGGTTGTCTTGCCGGCCTGGCTAATATGGTGAAACCCCGTCTCTACTAAAAATACAAAACTTAGCTGGGCATGGTGGCAGGCACCTATAGTCCCAGCTTCTTGGGAGGCTGAGTCAGGAGAGCTGCTTGAACCTGGGGAGGCAGAGTTTGCAGTGAGCCAAGATTGTGCCACCGTACACCAGCTTTGGCGACAGAGCAAGACTCTGTCTCAAAAAATAAAAATAAAAGGCCACCTTGGTGGAAAAGTCTGCTTTGAAGGTAGACCAAACTGATGTGAATGCTTGCTCTACCACTTACAACTCATAAGTGGGTATATGAGTCTGGGACTCAATTTCTCTAGGTTCTAATCATCTAATTTTTAAACTCACTCTATTAATAGTTCTCTTTCCAAATCATAGTGCCACAAAACTCAGCCTCTCTGAATTCTCCCAACCTTTTTTTGAACAATGAGATTCATAGGACTCAAGAGTAGGATCTTTTCTTTTGAGGCCAGCGGAGGAGCTGAGCAGTAGCATTGGGTTCCATAGTTAAGAAGGTAGGCATTTTAGCTTGTGCTGCCGTAACAAAATACCATAGACTGGGTGACTTACACAAGAACTACTTATTTTCTCACAGTCTAAGTTGGAGAGTTTCTGGTAAGGGCTCTTCTTCGCTTACTGACAACTGCCTTCTACTGTGCCCTTTATGATAGAGAGAGAATGAGAGAATGCACAAGTTCTCTGGTGCTTTTTTAAATGAGTGCACTAATTTCATCATGAGGGCCCCACCCTCGTGACCTCATCTAAACCTGTCTCCCAAAGCTCTCACTTCCATATGCTGCCACATTGTGGGTTAGATTCAGCATAGGAATTTTAGGGGGGTACAGTTCAGTTCATAGCAGTAGGGGAGTAAGAGAAGAGAGCAGGAGACACAGGGGTGTTAAGAAATGCCTGAGATGGACCAGAAGATCTACCACGGTTGAATTCATACGGCCCAGTGCTGCTATAGGTTAGAAGTTTTCACATTTCTGGATTACATGGAACTATAAATTTCAGAAAAAACGTTGAAGGTGTGAATCCTGAATATCTGAGACAGTTCTCAGTTAATTTAGAAAGTTTATTTCATCAAGGTTGAGGACATGCAACCTTGACCTCCCATGACATAGCCTGAGGAGGTCCTGATGACAGGTGTCCAGGGTGGTCAGAGCACAGTTTGGTTTTATATATTTTAGGGAGACATGAGACATCAGTCAACATATGTAAGATGAACATTGGTTTGGTCTGGAAAGGGGGACAAATGAAGCAAAGGTGGGACAACTTGAAGTGGTGTGGGAGATTCCTGGTCATAGGTAAGTAAGAGACAAAAGGTTGCATTCTTTTGAGTTTTGATTAGCCTCTCCAGAGGAGGCAATTAGACACGCATTTATCTTAGTGAGCAGTGGGTTGACTTTGAATAGAATGGAGGCAAGTGTGCTCTAAAGAGTTCCTAGCTTGACTTTTCAATTTAGCTTAGTGATTTTGGGGCCCAAGATTTATTTTCCTTTCACAAAGGCAATAGTTTTCCAAGTTAAGTATATTGTAACAAATTTACAGTTACACCAGCAGCATTTATTGAAAAATACATTTAACAAAAAAAGATGGGAAGAGCTTAATCTACATAAGGGATGATGCTCTGAATTGAATAAAATTGGCTCTACTAAAAAACTCGCCAAATTCTTCCTTGTGAACCAATGAAAACTTTTTGGTGGATAGTGAAAGTTTCTTCCACTATGTAGAATGACTTAAAAAAAAAGATTTGTGTCTGCCCATTTTGGCAAATCCGAATCTCTTCAGAGGTGCCACGGAAACTTTCACCAAAAAAAAAAAAAAAGAGTGAGGAAGAAAAATGAAGATTTTCACCAAGTCTTCCCGTAAAGTAAACCTTACCTTTTTTTTTTTTTTTGGAGATGAAGTCTTGCCCTGTCACCCATGCTGGAGTGCAGTGGCGCCATCTCAGCTCACTGTGACCTCCGCCTCCTGGGTTCAAGCAGTTTTCCTGTTTCAGCCTCTCAGCTAGCTGGGATTATAGGTGTGCACCACCACCCAGGGCTAATTTTTTTCCCCGTACCTTAGTAGAGAGGGGATTTCACCATGTTAGCCAGGCTGGTCTCGAACCCGCCACCTTGTGATCTTCCTGCCTCAAAGTCCCAAAGTGCTAGGATTATAGGTGTGAGCCACCTTGCCCAGCTGCAAACCTTACTTTTTCTGCTAGTTGGTACTGGTGACATCTTGTTTATCTATTAATAAATATCTAAAGCATTTTCTTTGTGATTTACAAGAGACCTATTTTTTTCTTATTCTTTTGTTGAAAGACACTGTCGCAGGTGAATGTGAATAGATAATTACTACTGCTTGGTAGGAAAGTAACACAGTAGCTGGGTAAAGTTGTGAAAAATACACACGTGGACCTGTAGTCTATCTCAGTCCTGAATTGTCAATGCAAATATGTGTGATGGGGGAAAAGGAACCACAGAATTTAAATTGTGGAACTATAAAGGGGGCTTGGTACTATAGAGTTAAGGAACATTAGTTATTTCTCAGATTGCTCTGACCTGAATCTTAGAATTGACACATTTTTCCTTTAATAGCCTTACGTTTATGTTGCTTCCATATTTCTTTTTCCTTTTTTTTTGTTTTTTTGAGACAGAGTCTCACTCTCACCAGGCGCCAGGCTGGAGTGCAGTGGCACGATCTCGGCTCACAGCAACCTCCACCTCCTGGGTTCAAGCAATTCTCCTGCCTCCTGAGTAGCTGGAACCACAGGCATGCACCACCACACCTGGCCAATTTTTGTATTTTTAGTAGAGATGGGGTTTCACCACGTTGGCCAGGCTGATCTTGAACTCCTGACCTCAAGTGATTTGTCCACTTTGGCCTCTCAAAGTTCTGGTGTTACAGGCCTGAGCCACTGCACCTGACCATTTTTAGTCATTTCTCAGTTTAGGATTGATAGGAAACAACGGTTTAGCAGCTTTAAAATGCACCTCCATTTTTTATGTACAGTGTGAATGAACAGTCTTGTATAAATGACTCAAAATGAATATTTTATTTTTAATGTTGAAATCTGGATTATGTCTTTGCAGTTTTTCTCTATCTGAAAATTTGTATGTCAATTTATAGTAATTTATAGATAAAGATGATTGCACTGTACAGTAGGTATCCCCTTATTCATAGTTTTGCTTTCTGCAGTTCAGTTAGCTGCAGTCATCTGTGGTCTGAACATATTACATGGAAAATTCCAGAAACAAGCAATTCATAAGTTTTCAGTTGCCCATCATTTTTAGTTGCATGACGAAACATCACATCTTTGCTCCATCCTGTACAGGGCATGAATTATCCATTTGCCCAGTGGCTCCATGCTGTAGACGTTAGTAGCTGGCTTGGTGATCAGATTGACTATTGTGATATCACAGTGCTTGTGTTCAAATAACCCTTATTCTACTTAATAATGTCTCCAAAAGCCCAAGAATAGTGATGGTGGCAATTTGAATATGCCAAAGGGAAGCCATCAGGTGCTTCCATTAAGTGAAAAGGGGTAAGTTCTTAAGGAAAAGGAAAAAATCGTATGCCGAGGTTGCTAAGATCTGTGGTAAGAACCCAGTCTTCAACCTGTGAAATTGTGAAAAAAGGAAGAGAAATTTGTGCTAGTTTGGCTGTTGCACCTCAGACTGCAAAAGTTACGGCCACAGTGCATAAATGCTTAGGATATAAGAGGGTAGCCAGGCTCAGTGGCTTATGCCTGTAATCCCAACATTTTGGGAGGCCAAGGCAGGATGATCACTTGAGTCCTGGAGTTCGAGATCAGCCTGGCCTGTAACATAGTGAGACTCTGTCTTTACGAAAATGTGAAAAAATTAGCTGGGCATGGCAGTGCATGCCTGTGGTCCCAGCTGCTTGAAAGGCTGGGGCAGGAGGATTGTTTCAGCCCAGGAGGTTGAGGCTGCAGTGAGCCATGAGTGTGCCACTCACTGCACTCCAGCCTGGGTGACAGGCTAAGACCCTGTCTCTAAAAATAAGCAACAAAATTTAAAAAGTAAAAAGCATTAAATTTATGGTTGGAAGATATGAACAAAGGAAACACGTTCCAGTTGATGAGTCAGGTTTGGTACTCTCGATGGTTTCAGGTGTCTACTGGGCTTCTTTCCCCGAGGATAAGGGGGGACTACTTTATGTTGCGTGCATATAGTTTTGGTGTGTATTCTAGGATGAATTAAAATGACAAAAATAAAAACAAAGTTGCAGGATGGAGACCCAAAGCAAAGCAAAAGTTATAACCACAAAAACTAAATGAGAAAAAAAAATCAGGAATAGAAGAATTTTATAAAAATTGTAGAATTACAGTTGTGTCATTAAAGCTCAAGAATAGAAGAATGTTATAAAAATTATAGAATTACAGTTGTGTCACTAAACCCTTTATGCCAAAGCGTTCTTCATTTAGTGGGTATAACAGGCAGCAGGAAGCTGACTTTTTTCTTTGACCCATGTGCATTTTCTAGCTGAGGAATGAAGTGACTTGGAACCAAGCTGGGCTTTTCTACTGAGCATGTCCCTCTCCAGCAGGGTCTGGCTTGGGTGGGGCCAGTCTTGCTCATTAAGCTTTGGGACGCTGGATTTCCATCAGCTTTCCACAGTCTTCCAATGACGGGAAATAGCAGACAGCGAGCTTGATGTGCTTAAAAGCTGCGTATGTATTTCAAGGGGGGAGATTATTAGGACGTTTTTGTTGCAGTGGTTGGGTTTTGTGATACATGCTTGTTTGTTTCTGCTGTGGAAGAAGTTTGCTATTGAAAGTGTGATTGAATAGTTAGGGGACTGAAAATTTGGAAATTACTAATATACAGAGTAGGTGGAATCTGGGTACGTACACTGTTTCGCAAGGGAATATGTTGTGGTATTTGAACTAAGCCCTATGAAAAATACATTTTTCCAGTGGGCAAAGTTTAGGCTTAGACTACTTGTTTGCATTTTTCTAGGCAAATGTTGACTTTTGTCAGGTTTAACATGATGGCTTTTTCAGGTTTACCTATGAGAATAATGAAGCCAATTGGTTTCTTTTGTGTGCTTGTCTGGTTGTTTCACAGTTTTTTCAGTGCTATGATATAACACCCTACAAAATTAGTACTATCTTGTTTCTAAAGCACAGTGAGGACTGTGTAAGGTTAACAGTATGCAGTTGTTTTCTTTTTAGCATGTTAAGGAATTGTAACTTTCAATTTACTTATAAAGTCCTTCATTTTCACCCTAACTTGTTTGGTTAAAAAACATTGTACTGTAGCCATCAGAGATTTGACTTTATAGTTTTTAGCATCTGTAGATTAGTAGCCATTAACAGTTACCAGGGTCTGGTTATTGGTTTGATGTTGTCACACCCTAAGTAAATATTGATTGATTAATAATACGTATCAACATCTTCTTTTATTACTGAATATTTAATTGGTTGTCACATTGAATAAATTTGAAAACTCATATTGCCCAGATTTTGACATCCAGACTTGGGAAAAAATCGTCTTGCATTTTCTTTATATAATCTAACAGCCTAGCAGTCTTCCTTCAGAAAGATTCAGTGCTACTTCCTAACAAAATTCAAGCACGGCCACTGTAATTAGCAGATGACCTTTGCGATTCCTTTTTTGTTGTTGACGCTGTAAGGGATACTCTGTATTACTGAAGTATTTATGGTATTTTGGCGGGGGTACACGTGTACTTGGGAAGTTTAAGTTTTCCATTTTTTGTCACAAGAAGAATCGTCTCTTCAAATTATTTGCACCTTGGGTGTGGGGGCTGAATAAATGATAACTGCTGAGGTGATGCTGATGACCTGGACAGCCAGTCACCCTCTGCATCTGCTTTGTAGTGTTCCTATACAGATGATATGATATGTTAATGATCTGTAGCTTAGTGTCATAGCAGGATCACAAGGAAAGTTACATTGGAATGGTAAATTTTAAATTTTGATGTTGGTTTTGCTTGCATTTTTTGGAGGACTCCAGACATTGAATGCCTGACATATTCTCCAGCATTATTCTCTACCAAATGACTTTTGCAAATGTTGAACTTTGAGAATTTTACCTCTGAGGAAACAAATACATTTCACTCAAGTAAAAACTTACCCCAGCCATCACTACCTAAAAATAGTTATTTGAAGCTTTTGCTAAGTAGTTCTGAACTAAATGAATCCTCAGAGTAGAAATACTAAAAAATACTTTTTTTTCTTTTTTCAAAAAAAAGTTTTATAGCACTCCAAATGGCATGTCTGTAATTCCATTGTAGTTACATCTTTTCCCACTGAGGGTAAGTTGCTCTTATCACGCCAGGCTTGGATGGTCCAGAATTCGGATACTCTTTGGCACCTTCTGCTGATCAGCCAGTGGACTGGGGTCAACATTTGGATATGCTTGCTTAAGCTAGAAATGTCACTCAGCTTGTAGTCTTAGTTTTTAGGATCTATGCTATGTATTGGTAGAGGTCTTTGGTAGTGCTATAATCATTTAAAATGGCAGAAGAACTAATGACTGAAAATGAAAAAGTAAATTATGTTTTTTATGAGGTTTAGATATTTATGCCTGTTGACTACAGCATTCCAAAGCTTATAGAGAAGAGGATTTGAAAGTATGAGATCAGTGTAGGCTCCAGCTTGGTGGACTTGTCATAGTGTGGGGGAGTTGATTGACTTTGACAAGCTTTTGTCTTATGACCTATTAAAATGCAGCGTCTGCAGCCTGTGCATTTATCCTGTGCAGTTAACCTTGGTGGATTTGTCATTAGCTTATTTGGGAAGTGCCTCCCGAACCACTATTGTTATTTTTTAGAGTTTGATTCACACAGAAATAATATTAGACTGGTTGTTGATTACTGCTAGATACCAAGCGGGCACGAGTTTTACGTTGGGACTGGGTAGGTATTTTATGCATAAGGTGGTTGTGGGATGAGCTTAGAAAAAATATACTCCCTGGCATCTGTTATGGTCATGGAGTTTGTTGGTATTAGCCCTGCTCTGGTTTGAGCTTGGTTATGATGTCACTGGAATAAACTGCATGTTAGCATTTTTTTTTTTCTAGAGCATTATAGGGTGGTGGTCCAAATAAATGTTCCCTAAATACCAGGAACATCACAAAGGATATTTATCAAGAAGCCACCGGATGCAAACACTGTGCTAGGAACATGTAGTTACTCATCCACACAAAAGTTTTACCCTCTTCATGTGAATGTAGTAGCAGATGGGCAGGGAAGAGGTGTGGACAGGAAGCCTGATGACAGCCTTGTGCTGTCACGCCAATTTCATTCCTGCTTTTCCCTGCGAGGAGGAAGCTGCTGAAAGAGATTGGGGAATGTTTATGTATAACCGGCTTAGACATTTAATAGGACTCTTTCCATTCTGTTTACTCTGCCTTAAACAAAATGTTCCTGACTTTCGGAGAACTCTATTTCCAAGTGCCCTGTTCCCAGCCCTCCAGCAGAGAACAGGAATAATCTTTTTACGCTGCCTGCATATGCACCAGTATTGTTAGCAAAAGACACTTGTTTTTTTGAAGTCCACATTGAGGAAAAAAGGATAAAAAACAGGCAACATTTTCTCAGGAACTGTAATTGACTCTTGAACAACACGATCCAGCACTGCATAGGTCCACTTATATGTGAGTTTTTTCAGTAAATCTCATCACCCTCCATATAGGCAATTTCTGTATCTCTAACCAAATTCAGGTTGAAAATAACTGTGTTCGTGGGGTGCTAAAGGCGGATACAGATGGCTGACTTTTCCTGTCCACAGGTTCAGCAGGGCTGACAGCAGGACTTGAGTATGTTCTGATTTGGGTATCTGTGGACCAATCCCCCACCGATACTGAGGGACAGCTGTATTTTTTTAAAAGGAAGAACTGATACACTTCTTAAAAAAATGTTGCTGGACTAAAAGCTTAGGCGTTGAGCTTATACTACTTCGGGGAACAATCTAGGTGGGGTAAGTGGTTGGTTTATGAAATATACTGAAGTGGAGGCTGGCAGAAACCAGTTTCTTTGAGGATGCAGAAACAGTCTTAACTTTCATATGCTAGGAAATCCGAAGCATAGGCCATCGTAATGCTACTTGCTGAGCTGGAATCGATGTTCATTTGTGTGGCTAGAGTGGTGTGATAGGGCAAAGTGGCATCATGGCTTGTGGTAGTCATATGTGGCACATGCATTTTCTCCAAGAAAGCTGGCTAACCAAGCTGGGTTCAGTTAATGCATGAATATTGTTCTCCTGGTAAAGTACTAAGTGCTTACGTTTATGAAAACTTCTGCTCAGTAAAAACATTGTCTCCCATCTGTACCTTGGTACTTATCTACCGAGCACCACCCTCCATTCCCTGTAATCACTGCTGTTACTCTCTTGCATCCTTCCCTAGTTTCTTCACTCATTTAAAGGAAAATGTGTGCGTGTGCATATTCACATACACATATTCACATCCTTTATAGGTGTATCTCCCACACGCTCTGCTTTCAGCCTGTAAGGTGTACTGTCTGTATAAGGTATCCTTATCGCTATAAAGTGACCTGTCACTTACACTCTCTGAATCTTGCCGTTTGTACCTAACGATGTACCTAATAATTGGAGTTATTTTTCGAACTGGGATGGTAGCCTTTCTCATCCTTTGTCTTTACAGTTGCGTAGTATTCTGTTGTATGAATGTGGCATACTGCCTTCTGTTGATGAACATTGATCTTTAGCTTTTACAGTGTTGTAGGTGAGTCACCTTTACATAATTATTTTACATATGCACAAATATATCTGTAGGCCACCTTACCACAAGCTTGTTCAACCTGTGGCCCACAGGCCGCATGAGGCCCAGGACAGCTTTGAATTCTGCCCAACACGAATTTGTAAACTTTCTTAGAGCACTATGAGATTTTTTGCAAATTTTTTTAAAGCTCATCAGCTATTGTTAGTGTATTTTATGTGTGTCCCAAGACATTCTTCTTCTTCCAGTGTGGCCCAGGGAAGCCACAAGATTGGACACCCCTGCATTACCACAAGCAGGATTACTAGTTGAAAGTGTGTACACATTTGGAATTTTGAAAGCTGTTGGCAAATTGACTTCCATTGGCCCCATACCAATTTATTCTTCTGCAAGCAATTGTTTGAGAATGTCTTCATTCCAATAGTCTTGCTCAGTGATTGCATGATTAAACTTTTGGATGTCTCCATTCTGAATTTTTAGTTTTATTTCTTTTACTAAGAGTGTGAAAGCAACTCTTCATATGTTTATGTGCCACTTGTGTTTCTTTATTTTCCTTTTTTTTGGGTAACTCTCCTTATCTGTTAGCCACTTTCCCCACCATTGGACCAATGATTTAAGTCATCCTAGCCAATTTAAAAATAAAATTTGTTTTTTATTTTTTTGATTTTGAGGCAACTTATACCTGGGCTTGTTTTATTAAGCTTTTTAATCAAGTTACTTGAATTCAGATAGAGACCAAATACAATTGTGAAAGAGAATTAGTCCTCTCTAAAAAGCATGTAATGCCTGTTTGTATGTTTTGAGTGTTTAACCAGCATTTCTTATGAAGGACCATTCATTGTGTGATTTCCTGAAGAGATAACAAAAAAACCGTAGCTGCTTTTCCAACTAGTAGTAATTTCTGAATATAAGTTACCAAGATTTATAAATTGGTTACAAGTTGTTTGACTATGAATGCTAATCTTAT